GAGACTGTGTTATTTAAGTATTTCCTTAAAGTTTAAAATATTTTGAGTTCCACACTCGAAATAATGTTAACTTAAAAAATCACAGTTTAATTTTTAAAAAAATTGTATTCTATGTGATATTTGTTTTTCCTTTACTTCACAGTTTATTTTTCAATTTATGATCTATCATTATCATCACTTCATGATAGCTGGCCTTCATTTTTCATATAGATATAAATTCAAGATCTAAGAAAATAGTAGAATAATAATTTTTACGTGATTGTGTTACTTAAATATTTTCTTAAAGTTTAGAATATTTTGAGTTCCACCCTCAAAAAAGTGTTAACTTAAAAAATCACGTTTTAATTTTTAAAAATTCTATTCTATGTGATCTTTGTATTTCCATTACTTCATAGTTTATTTTTTAAATTTATTGTTGCAATTAAAATTATTTGTATTAATTTTTGCGACAAAATATATGAAAACAAAGCTTAAAAATGCTATTTTAAATATAAAATAAAAACCCTGACTAAATAAAAATTATTATTTATAAAAAAAATTTCACTTTTTTAGTTTACCTTGTTATAAATTTCGGAGAATACTATATTGTTATATCGTCCAAGTTTGCAACCACATTACAGTGCAAATTATTTTTTTAATTCGATATCACGATATTTTCGGAAACAATTTATAGTTTATAAGGATTGCAACAAATTTAAATGAACATATTGCAATGATGAACTGATTTTTATGATATTGCTTGGTTTTAAATATTTTCTTAATATTCCATTTTCAAAATCAAACGTATACATGCCTGAAAAAAGAGAAAAAGAGAATTATATTTAAAAAAAAAATAATATATATATATGCTTGACTGTTCTATTAATATAACTTTGAAACATTTCATAAATTAAATATATTTACAGCCATTATTTTATGAATTATTAACCAATATTTAGTTTTAAGAATGCATAAAAATAATAATTTGTGATTGTAAATTTAGTTCTTTTTCCAATAATTTCTTTTTACTATTATTTACAAAAAATATTTTTTTATTAAAGTTATGAGTATGATTTTATATTTACCTATACTATTAACGTAAGTATTACTTAAGCTTTTAATTAAAGTTTTATGTTAATAAGTAAGCTTCTTTTCCTTTAAGAGCAATGATATTTTCTTTCGTTAAATTTTAATATTGTGGTCTTATTGTGTTACTACACACGTTATTTTGTGGCGTTTTGTTTACATTTTGTTTATGGCTGGTACAACTAATGGATGAAAATAGCATGTGTTACCATTATAAGCACCGTAAACAATAGACTGCATGTATTTTTATTTTCAACCAAAAATAAACCTACTAAATTTCATATATGCCCCTGAGATTTAACTAATATAAATTATTTAGATATTATAATTAAATAAATAAGGCCCTGATTTGATCCTCTTGGCAACTGTGGTTTTTCCTGTTCTGCTCTTAATTTGTTTTCTCTCTCGGCTACTGTGTCTCTTTTAGTTTTGTTTTTTAACTTTGCTTTTCCATTTTCCGTTGGCACCTTTTTTTTTTATATTTCAAATCACTTGTGATTCTTGAAAATTGGCATCTGTTTTTGAAATACGTCGATTGTTATCTATTCATATATTTTTAAAGAGAATGAAATTTATGATATATATATATATATATATCATAAATTTCATTCTCTTTAAAAATATATGAATAGNTATATATATATATATATATACATATATATATATATATACTAAACTTGCGGCGATTTCTACATTTCAAAGTCATGGATCAAAATTTTTTCTGCATCTTTGCACTGGTACTCCAAACAGCATTTAAGATCAAAAATTTTATTATTTTCTATTATATTACTCTAAGTACATAAAATTTATTAAAATTTGTAGAGCTTATTATTTTTTTAATTTGTTGAATTGTGGAACCAATACAATAGTACAAAAATACACTTATGATGTACAATACAAATACAAAAATACACTCGTTTGTGTCTGCAGAATCTCGTACATAGCGAACTCAGTAAATTTAATTCATTTGATTTAGCATTTCAAAATAAAACAAGTGGTATTTCAACTCCCTACAAGCCTAATTTTGTCTTACTCTGAACAAAAATAGTCGGGCAACAGTCCACGTTTCTCTTACAACTTAATTCTAATTTCTTACAACACGGGATTAATTATATTTTTAAGTAGACATACTTAACGATGAAGACACTTAGCATATCAACTTTCTTCTAATATTCGTCACGAATTATAAAACTTATTTTGCAAACCGTAACTTTGTTTTGGACAATATTTAATCTTAAAAAGCAGTTTGTTGTTTCAAGTAGTGAATTTTTTATGAAGTTGATCCTTAGGGAAAAGAAAAGAAGAATTTTAAACATGTATTTTTTCTAAAAATGTCCTGTAAAAATAGGTAAACTCATAAATATGAGTGTTCAGTGCATAGAAAAAATGAATACACATTTTTTGGATATTTATTTAAAATGTAATATATTTTCGATAAATTCAACAATATTGAGCAAGGTTTCTTATTATTCCATGCAAATTACAAGCATCTGGGGTAGTTTAGAAAAGAAAAGTGAAAATTATTTATAGGTTAATTAAGGAACAAAACTCCTTAACAAGATAAAAATAAAATTTGAATTTTGTTTTGAAATTATCTCAGTTATGAAATTATCAGCTTATTTGTCAATAATTTTGTTTCATTAGCAAAACAATTTTCAAATAATTCATTCCGCTAGCAGATCTTAATAATAATTACTCATATTTTGATAACATTTTATTTTCTTATTTAAATTCTTATATGTACTTAATGTATACATTTTTATGGTTTTATTTTTGATAAGACCATTCAAAACCTATCTCAATGCTTACGAAAATAATTATCTAAATATAATAATCTAAAATATTTACTTTAGTTGAATCCAAATTTAAATTATATCGATGATATTTTGAAGCTACAGTCTATTTTAATTTTTATATCATCAAAATGATTAATTTTTTTTAATTCAATACGTGTGTTGTTTTAACATTAAATTGCTGTGTTAATAAATCGTTAAATGAGTGGGGAAAATTGTGTCTTTTATGTTAAATATATGAATAGCAGACCTTTTGCAAAAGAAAGAAGAAAAAAAAAGCATATTTTTAGGCTTTTGAATATCAATTTCTTGCATTCGGAAAATGCTTTAAATTCACGTTTTCAACAGACTAAGTAAAGCTTTCGTCGCTTATTTATTTAGTGAATTATATATTCAAGTTCTTTGTTTATAAATCTGGTCCCGTATTTATTTAGCTGCGATTTATTGATTTTACAGCCTCAACAATTGAAAGCTATTATTTTTTATGTATAACAGCATAAGAAGATTAGCTTTTCAAAGATGAACTAATTTTAATTTTCAAAGTTTAAATATAAAACTGTTCTAATGGTAAATGCTATTTAAATACAAACATTTTGCCATAGAAATTACTTTTGCAGATTCAATTACAGCAAGATAGAGTACTCTGTAAAAAATTTGAAGTAATATCATTAAAAATTTTGGTGTTAAAACAGCCTTAAGATTTTAAGAACATGCCCTTTCTTTGAGTTATCACCAATTCAAGCATTCCTTTACACTTTAAATGGTCTAAATATGCTTCCTTTTTTGTGTTCAACTTCAATTCTGAAATATGATCACACGCTCAAACTTAATGCTCACACCCGAATTTTACACCGTTTGCGAGTTATTTTCATTTGTAGAAACACTAATTTCGGTCTGAGTTCGGAAAATGTCCTTTTCTTCTGAAATGATATGACTTTATGACCGGTTTCCAGACATCCTACAGCCTCTGTATTTTATTACAGACAGTTCTGATGTCTCTCCAGAAGACCAGACATTATGCCTAGACTCTAGACAACTAACATTACTCTAGTTTCTAGAGCACTATCGATGACTATAGTTTCAAGGTTTAACTTTTTCGAGTAGGGAAGTGGGATAAGCATTCAAGACAGATTTTTACTCTTATCACCAAAAGTAATTTAAAAAATCCTCTACTTAGAAATGCTCGTTTTCTTGTTTCCATAACTACAGATGTCTTTGGATTCAGTGACCGGAGGATTTCTTTAGTTAGATAAGTAGTGGGTTAGATTTTGAAGTCTTATGACAGGATGCTCATTTTTAATGGGGGTAATGTTTATGGTTGTATGGATATCCCAGGACTGATGTTGAACACAAAATATATTTACATTATTTAAAATGCAAATAAATGCTTGAATTGCTATTGCTTGTTCACACAATCTATGTAAGATATAGTGATCGCTTCATAGTTACATTACACGAGGTTCAAATACCAGCGATCGCTGTACAGCTCAGTTGTACAACCCAGTACGTATTATTTTTTTTATCTGCATAGGGTTTTCATGACTTTCTTTCATTGTTCTTTAAAATTTACTTTTTCCTTACACCAAAAGAAATTAAAACAAACATTCATGGTGTTTCTCAATACAAAAAATAATTGTTTATGTTTTGACCACAGCAATTTTGGTGTGAAGTACTTGCCACTATTCTCGATGTTGAGTTACACTTAATTTTTTAAACATAGTAGGAATCTTGCAAATTCCCTTATTTATATATTAAACATTTACAAATTCTTTTATCTTTTATTTATTTATATGTTTAATTTATTTGGAAATAGTAGATATATGCATAACTTAATTTTTATGTAATAACTTATGATTGTTTGCAATCAAATAAAATGCTTTTGAACACGCAAACGGGCTGATAGCAACAATATCTCTCAAGTAAAAGAAATGATTCTAACTTGGTGCAAAATTATTAAAATGATTGTGATTATACTAAATACTTTCAGATTTGTATCAGATGAACTTTCATTAATACTAAAGCACTCAATACTCATAAAATATAGCAATTGCAGTGATTTAGCTGAAATATTCAACTTAGTTCAAAATTGAGATATTATTTAATTTAAATGCTAATTTAATTTTGTTTATTTTACAGGTGAGAACGTTATTTGTTAGCGGCCTTCCGATGGATGCCAAACCAAGAGAGCTGTATCTTTTATTCCGAGCGTATAAGGTATTTTAATATAATTTTTCATGTATTTTTTGAATTGTTAATTAACTATATTTAATTTATTTTGAACTATATTTAATTAAAATTATTGTATGACCATACATTTATCCAGATATTACTCACAATTCAGTTTCATCAAACAATAATAATTTACATTAAAATTATGAATTAATAATATTTTTTAGAAAAATTTATTTAAAATATCTATTTACTATCTATCATTATTATCTAACATTTATTTTAATATATGTTTAACACTATTAAATACGCATTAAATAGTTTCTTCAAAAATTTAATTTAATTGAAATTATTGCATGGCCATACAATTATTCACATATTACTCACAATTCAGTTTTATCAAAAAATAATAATTTAAGTTAAAATAATGAGTCAATATTATCTTTTAAAAAATTTGTTTTAAATATCTATTTACTATCTATCATTACTATCTTTTTATTATCTATCTATAATTTATTTTAATATCCACTTTAAAAACTATTAAATACGCATTAATAGTTTTTGAGACATTGCTTTAACTTCTATTTGTCTTTCTTGAGTTCTTGGAACGAAACTGACCCAGCTATATGGTGCCCACGATAAAGTGATTATTAGAAAAATTAGAAACATAAGGCATAAAACGGATTTTTTTTTTTTTGAAAAATGACAAAATATTTCTTTACTATTGATTAAATTCGTTTCCTCGAAGAAGTGATGGTAGATATTTCGTTACTTGATAAAATGTTCCTTTGGACTATATACCAGGAAGCAGTTTAGTGAAAAACGAAGAAAGTTTCGCGAAATTTGAGTATCTATTTTATATTTACAGTGTATAATTTTAAAATAAATAACTTTTAGAAGATAAAAATAATTAGTATTTTTTGGCATTTTAATACATGTGCATAATTTTTCAGGGTTATGAAGGATCATTATTAAAGGTGACAAGTAAAAATGGAAAGACTTCCTCTGTAAGTTTTTTTTTATAATAATATATAAAAAAATTACATTGAAACTTTAAATTACATTGACTCTTGGAGTCATACGTTTAAAATATGAGCTACCTGTCAGGTGTCAGTTATAAAATAAAAATTTATTTTAAACACAATCCTAGCCATATATGGCAGTACTTTTACTTTCGTTACTTGTACCGCCGGTACAAGTAAAAAGCACGTACTTTTACTTGTACTTCACTACTTTTTAAATTTAGTACTTTTACTTGTACTTTCGTTACCTTTTTACGGAAAAAGTACAAGTATTTGTAACGGAAATGTCGAATGAAATCGTTACTTTTTTCTAAAACTCGGTAAGCATTCTAGAAGAAAAAAATGCTTTCGAAATGCAATTATTTTGCAAAATGAATAAAAATATTAATTAGCAAGTTATTTTCATTCATTTTCGAGTTTTATGCATTTGTTTAATAAATTTTAAATAAAAAATGTTGGATTTAGTTATTACGTTTTTCAATTTTCCTTTTGAACTCACTAATAATACATTTTTGTCTTAATACATTTTTTACTAAATACATTTTTACCTAGTACATTTTTTACTAAAATTATGTTTATGCCCGACCTTGTCAAACAACGCCCAGTCAAATCTCTAAGAACTTCAGAACTATTTGTGCTATTGAAAACTATTATAATTACTATTTTAACTCTTGAAAACTCGAAGGTATTAATTTAGCCGCTGATACTAAAATTCGTTTACAAATTTTAATTATTCCGTTAGGCAGAAATGTTCGGAAAATGATTTTCTCGCATGACTTCAGCATTAGCCATTGTTACAAATAAAACTGTAGACTGTTCTGTTTCAACTTATACTGCACATTCAATTATTTTTTACTAGCTCAAAGATCACAAAGCTATCTGAAACCCCGTGTTTGCTTTGTTTATGTTTGTGCTTTTAAAACACGTTTCTATAGAGTAAAACAATTTTAAATCAATGGTAATTTAAATAAATAAAAATAATAAACTAAAATTTAAAATCAATTGATAAAATTTCTTTTTCGTGCAAAGTCGTAAAAAGTTTGATATTAAAATTATATTTGATTTTAGAATTATATTATACGATTATATTATAAAATTATATTATAATATTCTTCCGAATTTAAGAATAAATTAATGTCCATAACTTTCAAAATTAAAAATAATTAAATAAATAACAACAATTTTGCAAAAACATTAAAGAACAAAAGAATATTATTCAATAGAATTTTAGGTTATTTTGAATTTTCGATTTCCTAGAAATGTACTTTTAAATCGTAACTTTTTTTGTTTAGTACTTGTACTTTTACTTGTACTTTTTACTCGTTACTTTTTAAAATACGAGCTTTTTACTTTTTACTCGCTACTTTTTCTAAAAATACTTGTACTTTTACTCGTTACTTTTTAAAAGTAACGTTGCCATATATAATCCTAGAACATTTTTTTTCTACTTCATGCTAATAGTACTACTGTTTGTATTATAGAACAATTTTTTCAAGAATATTTACACGGGGGAAATAATTATGGCAAAACTACCATACTGTATGGTAATGACATTTTTGGTAAAAACATGATTACTGGAAAACTAAAACATACAGTATTTAATTCATTTGGTAATTAATTTTCGTATATATGGTAACGGTTTAAAGGAAATTCAAGTGAATAAATGGTTTTTATGCCCTTCTCTAAGCCATCATGATTAAACTATAAAAGTTTTCCGCATTTAAAGAGATTATCACCTATTTATAAGAACCCTATTTTATTGTTGCTCTACTTCGCCAAAATCATAACTAAAGTACTTTGGTAAAAATTACCAAGCTTTTTAGATTTCTTGTAGATACATTTCACAATATTCTGGTAGTTCTGACCATACAATTTACTCAATTTAGAATTTATTTTTGCAAACAATTTTTAAAAAAATGTAACTTAGGTAACTTTGTAAATGACAGATATTAAGTGCTGTCAACATATAATAGGCAATTTTTTTGCAATATTTATAAAGTTTATATTCATATAAATCTTCTTTTAATCAAGTATACCGTAATTCAGTGGTAGTGAACACACTATTTATTTTTAGAGATCTTCCAATTCAAGAGCATTTACTTGGAGAGAAATTAATCGTTATGCAACTTGGGTTCCTTATGTTTAAATATATGTGAATTTTCTAAAATATGTATGTTATTTTAGTTTTTTGAATGGTAAATCCCATAATTCTGGCAAATTTAAACATGTGGTGTCGAAACGGACACGAAAATTAATATTTTGAAGTATTTGCGAATACCAATGCATTAAATTTGTAAAAAGATGTGTGCATAAGAATTCTAATATTTTTAATTTCTAAACATACCTTAAAAAATGAAATTTCTTGCTAGAATTACGTAAATTTACATCCAATATCATAAATTTTTCAACTCATAAGAAACTGTATATTTCACACCCATTTAGTATTTTTGAAACTTCAATTGATCTAAAAGAAGCTTTTATATTACAAAAAAATATAATTATTGATTTATAGCAATTTCTGTTTAGGAATTTTTTTAATGCAAAATTTCATAAAGAATAACTAGTTTATGCTTGTTTTAATATATTAAATATGATTAATATCTTACTTCCAAGTAAACTGAAAAATATATAATATTTACGCAATTTTTTAAGCTTTGTTGTTTTGTAGCAATTGAAAATGATTGTCTGCATTTTTCTGTATGTATCATCTTACTTCTACCTTTACATGTTTTTAAAAGCAATGTTAAATATACCGTAAAGATTGATTAATTTGCTCTAATATGATAAAATAAAGAAAAATAAGCGAAAAACAATTTGTTGAGATGATTAGAATTTTTAACTGGGAAATTAATGAATAACACTCAAAATTGATCATTTCTGAATCTTAGAGTGTATCGAAAATTCGAAGGTACGTTTACCTGGATAAATTATAGAAGAAATGAATATTATAAGAACAATAATTAACTACCTAACCTTTTTAACTACAAAATATGAATTATCGTTATAAAATTTTCCGCTTCATTACTTAAAGTGAGGAAGGAATTTTTCTAGAGAAAAACGCATTACGCATTTAGTGTCCGGTATTAAAAACAACTTCCGGAAGGGGAAAAAAGATATTTATAAAAACGAAAAATACCAAACGCATTAATTTTCTTCCACGACGGAGTCTAGCTTTAAGTTGTTACAGGTTTTTGCTGTCATCAGTTTCATCAATTTTACCTTACAGTTCTTCCAAATTTTTTAATATCGCTGTAAAATTATGTGCTCATGTATAATTAAGAGATACTTTAACTTTTTTTTTAATTTATTACTTAAAAGTTGCTTTTATGAAACTCTGAGTCATCTTAACCATAATGGCGGATATTCTCAAGCTTTAGAAAAGAATTTGAAACATAAACTTGCTATTCAATAAGATTTTGTCTAACAGAGTTACTCTATCTTCAATTTAATGAGTGTAAAAAAATAGTAGATTTAACATTAAAAAACGTTTAATGCACAAATTGGATACACATAATTCTTCAAAAATGCCAATTAAAAAAATTCTAAGCCTGCACTGAGAAAAAGTATGGTCAAAACTACTAGAATATGGTAAATTTTGCTGAGTTTCTATCTCTATGAGAAACCGAAGAACTAGGTAAATATTACCAAAGTGGTGATTTTGGTGAAATAATATAATATAGTTTTATAATATGCGATAAAATTTGGTAAATATGGTAGCATTTGATAATTTTATCGTGATGCCTAAAAAAAAAACATTTATTCTGTAAAATTTACTTCTTTGTTTTGAAATTTTTCCAAAATGTGAGGTAATAATAATTATAATTTTAAAAATCAGAATTTCCAGTTAACTGTTGCCATATAAGCCAAAATATTACTAAAAAAATTATTTAAATGGCGTTTATTTTTGTTTTATCAACCAGAATTATGAATATTTTGTTACCAGAAATGTCATTGTTATACACTATCGTAATTTTACCAAAATTTTTTCCTCCTGGTAGTTGTAAAAAATTAATTTACATAAATACCTCATAAACATTACAAAATCAATTTTAATTGCAGCCTGTAGGATTTGTTACCTTTACAACTCGAGCGGGAGCAGAAGCAGCTAAATTAGATTTGCAGGTAAGACCAATTAGATTTTCTATGATAGTATGTTTTTTGTACATTCTCGCATTCATATTCATTTAATAAATACTAAAGAATACATTAAAATAAACAAGTAAAATTAATACAAGAGTTTTGAATATTATTATTATTTGAATTATAACAGAAAAAAATTTTATAAAGAAAATTAATTGACTTCCTTTTTCAATTTCCTTTTAATATCAAATGATTTGTGTTTCTTACACCCCTTATTATTTTATTTATAATCATGCTACGCTAATTCAAGAACAAAAGCTACGAAGTAAGTGAGAACTTGTAAGGTTAATCATTGCATTTTTTTTGCTGTATGAAAAGTATTAAAAATTTTTTTATGTAATACATTAAATAATTTTCTTTCATCATAATATATTTATGATCTGATGTAACTGCATCAATGGGAGCTAAAAATAAAAATTTAAAAATGATTTGAATTCACATTCACAGGCAACACATATTCATCAAGTGACGCTAAGAGAGCATGGGGGGATACATAATCCTCTAACTGTTACAGTTAAATGAAAAATTGCTCTAAAAGTACCAATTTAAGGGTAGAAATGCGACCGCGGTTACGAAATCCAAAGCTAAAATAACTGAAATCTGAAATAAATTTTCCTTGCGAACGATAAATAGCAAAACTGAATTAAACCAGTTAAAATGAAAAAAAAACGATTCGGTGCAAGTGTAATGCAGCCACACATATGTTAAATGCAAATTCATCCATTCTTTCAACCAATTTTATTTCGGTATCTTAATTATTTTAGCTAATTATTTAAGAAGTAAGATATGATAATTAGATATAATAATTTTTTATAAGAAATTGTTGTAAGAAATTTGCCACAGTAATGCTTGCTAAAATTAAGAAACCAACCCAAAGCAAAATTCTCCGTTTTGCTATTCTAATTGTTATAAAAATATCTTTTGGTATTTGGTAAAATTGTTATAAAAATATCATTGTTATAAAAATTTCTGTTTGTTATAGCACAATTTTTTAATCAAAATTAATTAAGTCTTTTTCTTAATTATAAATACATATGTATATTTTCTAAGCTCACATATTAAATCTATCAATGCCAATAATTTTTTTATCTATTTATAATGATGTACGCCCATTTTTTAATCTACAACTTTTAGTCTCTTGTAGTTATTTTTCTATTATTTACACAAATTTGCAAACGTGTAATCAACACAATTCTTCCTGAATATTTTTATTTCCAGAATATGAGGAAATGAATCGTTATTTTTTACTTGAATTGTTATAATCATCGTTTTAACTTCTTACCTATTCGTCAGAAATATGCAGCGAAATTAATAGACATCAAGGAAGCTTTTCTTTATGTCATATTGGAAAAAGAGAGTAGCAAAAATAAATTAAATAAGCTTAAATATTGCTGAATCATCTTTCCTTAAATAAAAAGCTAGAACTATTTTAAGATTTATTTGACTGAGAATTTAGCTAAATTGAAGTACATTGAACTTCTCATTTTTTTTCGTGATTTTCATATTTGTACTTCTATTGAAGCATTTTGTACTTTCCTGATATATCTAACTCCCTCACTACCATAGTGAAAAAATACACGAAGAAAAATATGCAAAGGAAAATTCACCCCAGTACCGTAGCGCCACATTACGTAAACATTCTTAAAATCATATAAAATATGTTAGGAAATCAGTCGTTACGTCACAGAGAAGGATAGAGAAACTATCTAGGCCATGTTTTAACATTATTTTTTTTGTATATGGTGAGGAACATTTTTTACCTTTATGGCTTTGAAACCGTTTACTACTGGCATGGTTAAAAAAACGCGAATTAAAAAGTATACGATTTTATAACCATTTACGACTAGCATAGTTTCTAAACCATAAAAATGAGTTTTAAATAGAATTGGAACTCTGTGGGTGCTGCGTCAATATTGGGTGAACGATAGTTTCGTATTCTTATAGTTCAGGACCACCCATTGAGGGTGCAGGAAGCTGGAAAATCTTCATGTACTCACGACTGATTAAATATTGTAATATCAACGCTGTGATTTAAACTCCTGTTCAGCCGGTCATGAGATTCAGTTATTATCCCTCTCAGCTGCAGTATGTACCCAGCAGAATAGAACAAAATGGCTTTATAAGGTTTTTTTAACCGTATTAGGAAAAACCAAGCAATTAACTTCTTTTTCACACAGTTTGAATATAATTTTTTTATGGTAATTTGACTGTTTTGAATGAATACTGTTAAATAGCAATAAAATAAATTGCCATTTAACCATTTTTGCCGATAAATTTCCAATAATGTATAAAAATTATATTTTATAGCAATATTTATAATCAAAAGTTACTTAGCGTTATTACTGTTAAAGCTGCAGAATGGGAATATTCAAATGTTTTTGTTAAATTTTTATTTTTGAAAAAGCACTTTTGTTGCAAATATATATAGGTCAAACTTTTAAAAAGTATATTTAAATAGATAATTTCCCTTTAAGTAAATAGTTATATTTGTTACTTTAAACTTCGAGGAGATGCTACAGCGAAATTAATCATTTAAATATTAATTGACAATATTTTAAGAATCTCATGGTTGCTTTTCTTTAATTTTTCGTATTGGTAAAAGACATAAGAAAAAAAGTTTAGTTTAATTATTACTCAAACATCTTTCATTAAATAACAAGAGAAAAATATTTTACGAATAATTTGAATACGAGTTTAGCTAAAGGAAGATGTTTAGCTTAATGAATTAACATTTTGTACTTTCTTCGTATGTTTAACCTCGTCATTACCATAATGGAGAAAATGTACAGAGAAAAATACTCAAAAGAAAACATAACTCCACACTGATCTAAAACGTCTGCTATTTCCCATATTTTCATCTACAAAGTAATTAACTTAAGAACTTCATTATTCTGAAGCAAACATTTACGTCAATACAACGGAGATTAATTAAGAATAAATTGAACAATTTAGAAAACCATAACACAAAAGCAACGGAGAAAGTATCAAGAATAAGAAAAAAGCTTAATATAAAATTCAAAAATTAAACAAGTCGAGCCTTGTTAAAGTAATGCTGTTAGTTTAATTTATTCTAGAGACTATGTTTCCGCAACGAAAAGGAAGCATTCTTCTGCGCAAACTGAAACGTTAATTTGACAGCTTATGGATAGAAGAGAGGAGTTTGATTGACAATGTCTGAGATATTGTTGATTGCAAAATCTCATTCAAAAAGATTTTTGCTTTAAAATTTATGATGCTATTTATTATTTATAAAGATCAAAATCTTATTCCAGTGATAACAGAGAATGAAAAGCAACAAAATTTTACAAAAATAATGGAGTAAATTCAAACTGTTTTATCTTAGTAGAGATATTCTACAGCGAATTGACAACTTGTAATTTAAAAGGAATTTTTTTAGTATTAAAAATCTTAATTTGACATTTTATCACATTAAAAAGAACTTAAAAGCTGCATTTGTAAATTTTACTGGCTGCTAAGACTATTAAAAAGTATTAATATTTTAAGAGTTTCAGTTCCGGCAGCTTTAATCACGTTTTGAGTTTTAAAAAAATCTTAAATATGTTTTAGTATAAATTTTTAATTAATAGAATAATTCGTTTCAAAGAAAAATAGCACTAATGGATTAATTAAAATGTAAGGAGAACTTTATTAAAATTTAAAAAAATTTAGAAATTACAGATTTTTTTTAATTTATACTTAAATTGAATCAACTACCAATTTTAAGAAACTGCTCACTTTTGTGAAAATTATTTAATGCTAGCTGATTTTTAAAGCCAATAAAATAGATTTCAAGTTATAATCATATAACTACCACAGTTTTAAGTTAGTTAATCATAAGCAAGACAAATTTATTTCATTATCTGCTTATTACGAAGAAAAAAATATTCCCTCTTCTTGAATAACTTTTTATTTTATGCATGTTTTTTTTTTGATAAATTTTGTGACAAAATTATCATACTTTTTTTAGTTTTAATTATTTTTCCGATTAGTATTATTTATGAAAACCTTTGAAGAATTGTCCATAATCAAACATTTTTCGTCATAGCTGACATGCGATTGAAACTTGACTTACATTGAAGTTATTGCTACTTACAATTTCTATTTGTCCACATCTTGAACAATAATGCTTCTTAGAATTCTTATTTTAAAACAATGAATAATCTTGAAATATTTCTCATGCTTGGATTTTGAAATAAAATAAAACATAATCCAGCTCATAATTTCCTTTTTTTTATAAATATTTTCATTTCAAACCGAATTTTTCACTTCAATGGAAACCCGTATATTAATCTAATGTCAATTTCAATTTATTCTTACTCTCAGGATTTCATTTTTTAAATAAATAGTTTAAGAAAATATGTACTTTCGATTAAAATATATTTTATTTCCTATTTGTAATTAAAAGATTCATAACTTATAAACACTCTTGAAAAATGATGTATTAAAGCTAAGATGCGTTATTTCATTGCGTAAAATATTTCAAATAATGATCATTCATTATATTTTAAATAATAGTTTTTACTTATCATATAACCATTAATAAAAGTTTTAGTTGATGATTCTAATGCTAATTCTCTTTCTTAGCAGGGAGTAAGATTTGATCCAGATCTTCCTCAAACCATACGTTTGGAATTTGCAAAGAGCAATACAAAAGTGAGTAAACCGAAACAACCATCACCACCAGCGGCTCCTTCTCACCCAGGCTTACTGCACCCGATAACTGGTCGTAAGTATAACTATAATTCGAAATACTAGTTTTAATAAATTAAATTTTATTTAAAATACTCAATAATTCTAAAATTACTCTATAAGTCTAATATCCTTATCATTTTAACGAACGTTACAGTGTTCGCACTAATTGTTGCATGAGATGAGCCAAAAAGTTATTTTTTACAAACGGATCTGGTCCGATTTCATAATTTAGGGCAAAAGAGCTACTATTGGACATTTCTCTACCAATAAACCAGAACAAAAGCTTTATGAACAAACTTAGTCTGGTTCTGTTTTAGTCAGCATGGAGAAACAAATTCTAGCAAAATTATCATACTATACGGTTATGACATTTCGGACAAATAAAGCTATAATTCTAATTAATAAAATCAAAATATACGGTATTTAAAATCAAAATATACGGTACACTAACCAAATTTCATCTCATGTTATATAACTCTATTACATTGTTAATTTTACCAAAATCAATGCCAATTTTACCACATTCTGACAGTTTTGACCTTATTTTTTTTCTCAGTGTGCAATGATGAATATCCATATCTTAAAAGCGCTAGTTTCTTATTTGAAGGAGGACACACATTTAGTTCCTTTTCGGAAAGATCGTGCTACGCTGAATTAGTTGAGAAGATGCCAAGTTAAAACATGTTATCGTACAAATTAATCGTTCTTAAATTTAATTACACGATCCAATGATTTAGCATGAACGGAAATATAGTTCAATTTAACACCTTATTAAAGTTGCAGCAAATTTGCTCAGAATAATGTTTTTAAAGTGCTAACATTATAGTACCGATTTTTCTGAAAGTGTACTTATCTGAAACGTAATTTACACGTTTTGTACTGCAGGAGCATGTTGCAAATAAGGTAGCACTTTCATTTTTAAAATTATTGTATTTTTCTGAAGTTTTAACAATTATCCATCCAGCAGAAACACCACAATCACATTTCAGATAAAAAAGAAACTTTACGTTTCAGTAACAGAAAATGATATTTAGTTTCAAAAATAATGCTGCCATGTATTTTTCTTTAAATTTTTAGTTTTATTGAATATAAAATAATTTTAGGTCACCTGCAATAAAATATTTCTGAGGCCTGTCTTTTTTAAACTTTTTTTTTACTTAACGTATAAAGTCACATATATGAAACGGGATTTTGATGTTTTGTCATTTATGAGAATGCATTGCAAAATGAAGCAGCCTCACTTTAAAAATACGAACTTCTTCTTCAATTTAATATAGAAAATACCAATTATTAAAATGTACTTCAAATTAATTAACTTTTTCACTTTTAAAATCATAAATATTTGTTTAAATGTAAATGCGGATACATAAAATACCACTTTTAAGAATGTATTGAATATGAAAAATCTTTTACATTTTTTTTGAACTTTTTCTTTCATTTTAATACACAGAATGCTTAGAAAATATACCAAGTACTTAGAGTATTTTCCCCATTATTTATCTGGATCACATAAGATCTAATTTAGTAGCCAAGCATGAAAGGCTATGCAAAATATACTGCAGGAAAGTAAATTGACACTGTGAAAATTTTTGTGAAAAAAATAAGTATATTTAAAAAATTAAAGATCTGTTTAAAAAAACTGCTTAGTTTTTATACAAAGCAAATTTAGTTTAAATGTTTTCGAAAAAAAATTTAGAGACGTAATTGCATTAAACTAATTCCAGATTCATCACGTTTGCTTTTAGTTTATTGAAAAAAAAATTTGAAAAAATAATACCTTTTAACTTGCGTTTTTTTATTTAGCTTGAAATATTTTTCTCTTTTACCTGAACAGTAGTAAGCCACTAATACAGTTCAAAATTCCTGTCTTTATTTTAAACTTTCAATGCATTAAATGGTACATCGAATAATAAAAATCTCAACCAGAAAAGGCGAAAATCATTTTTCTTATTATTTTTTCAATATTTTTATATTCAATATTTTATACGCATTAAATATTCATCTATAGATTGTTGAAGCAGCAAAAATAAAATGGATTGAGATTTTTTAACTATATTCTACATAAGATGGCCAAAAATCTCCATTGTTAAACTATTACTATTTTTGTGAGTATAATATAATATTTGAGTGATGCGAAGATAGAAAAAGAAATTTCCTCTCGTCTCACAGAATGTAAGGAGCAAAAGACAAAGAAATGAAAACATCATGTAAGCAATCTGTGAACGCAAATCCATTTATTAGAGAAAGAAAGTGGGGGATTAATATTTGATAACAGCCTAAAAATGAAAAAGGAAATATGGCCAAGCACCTTACCGGAGCAGTTATGACTGCACCCACTCCTACCCCCACAGAGAGAGGACCAGTTTATAGTATAAAAGAGATGCAGTGATAAATATTTGAAACCCCTTCCTTGTATATTGCGACTCTAAACTCCAGGTACACGTAGCAGGACTACGGAGCTGGTAATTGCATCACATCGAATATATCCTCTCCCTTTACCTACGTTTTCCCCCTATGAATTGTTAACCAGACCAGAACGCTCCTTCCAAGTTGCTTTTGCCTCATGAGGGTCCTCTATGGTCGGGGAGGGGGTTCTAAATAGGTGCAGTGGTAAAAAAATGGAGGCGAGCTAAAATAATCACGCACCAAGCATTGTGGGAGAAACCATACAACTATTTGAGGTCAAATGTATTTTAAGGTTACAAAAACATATTTTTCCTTACCAGATTTCCCGTCAACAAAGTAAAGAAGATTTTTTGCTAAGGGCACCTTAGAGAATAATTCCTAAGAGGTAAATTTTGAAAAATAGAGCTACCACGTTTTACAGTGGAGATTATTTTTTTTTGTTAGCTTATTCTCTTTTTTATCAACCTTATTTTATTTACTCCCTCTGTTCTATAAAATTTTTATGAGAGTGGAGAAATAAAAGCATTATACAGGTCAGTTGATAAACAGGGAAGGGGTCAGTTGGTGAATGTGAGAAAATAGAAAGAACATTTCTTAAATTATGTCATTGCTATATTTATTTTTTAAAACTTCCTTTTGTGTTTTTCAACTGGTAAGTTTTATTTATTTATTCATTTATATGCTTATTTTTCCATTTGTCTTTCCATATTATAAAGTGGTACACTTTTCTTTTAACACTAACTAAATTTAAGACAGTGTTACTATGTAACTCATCACAATCTAGGAATTTACCATTGCTTATTTTTATAAACCTTATATTAATTTCAAACAAATTAGAGCGGATTAAAAGAAATATAATTTGAAGTTTTATTAAAATGGAGATAAATGATAAAACTAATGTTTGTATTTTGGAAGATGATACAATGTTATAGTTGAAACCTGACTTGAAAAAGCTGACAACGAATGTGTAGTTATCAAGGGTTAACTTGAAATATCTTATGACAGCTGCTTTGGTTATTGGACTTGAGGCAAAATACAATTTAGATGTATTGGATTATACGGAAAGTAGTTTCATTTTTTTCCCAACATAGGATATAATTGAATTTTTTCATAGTCAACTTTACACTTGAGCAGCATAAACATTATATATGCTTTGACAGCTGATATAGCACTGACTACTTAAGAAAAAATTCGATTGATTCTACAAAGTAGTTTTGGGATAATACCCTTACAAATACAAGAAGTGAAAAGCAGAATTTTTGGCATATTTTTTTTTATAATCAAAAAGTTTGAAATGCAAGAAAAAATTATCCGGTGCGTATGAAAACGATATATTGACAATACTCTTGTGTCATAACTGATTTGCCCAATTTTGATCCAGCAGTTTTGATTTTAACGATGCATCACATTGTGGAAGACCAATTAAAGCTGATGAAGGCATTAACTGATGCAAACTGGTGAATAACAGCTCGTGAGATCACTGAGACATTTAATTTACTGAAAATAACCGTTCATGATAACTTAAAATACTTAAGTTCTATCTCAAATCTCGACATATGGAATCTTCATCTTCTCTTACAGAAGATTTCCATCTATCCGCAATTTGCTTTTCAAACTTCACGAAAATTATCTATTTTTAAAGAACATCATCACTGGGGACTAGAAATAGATTGTCTACAACAATGTGAAACAAAAGAGATATTTTAGGCAAAAAAGATAAAACCTGCTCAAAGCAAAGAAGTCAAAAATCCCTGGAATTAATATTTTGCCTGGAGAGAACAAAAATTTTATGAATGTGAAATCATGCTACTGCCAGAAAGATGGCAAAAGGTATTGTTCCAGAATGGACATTATACATAAATCAGTAAAATATCTATTCATTGTAAGAGAATCATCCTTTATTTTTTCAAAAAATAATACTTTCCAAACAACCAGATACTAAGCTTATATAGTCATAAATCATTATTGTAATTTGAAAATTATCTATCAATTTTTAAACGAAATTAACTATTTTGATGGATGGCTTCATGCATGCACTGAATGGTTGAAGACTCAAAATACACCTTTCTATCTGATTCTGTTCATTAAACACTTTTTTAGTTTCTTATTGAGACTGTTTTTCTATGCTTAACTTATTAAAGATTATTTTAGTTTCTTTTGCTCCTTGATAAGGCCTTTTCTGATGCTTGGGTTAAAAAAAAATATTTTTAAAATGCTCTTTTTCAATACTGTTCAGTCAAGAAGAAGAAAAATTAGCAACGAATGGAGCATTTTGAATTCGTACATCTCTTATAATAGTACATATTACTCGAATTACATTTTATGTACCATCTATCAGAATTAACTCAACCTAAAAGCAGACAAACATTTTAATTTTTTCAGTAAGTCACTCTTAATATTTTTAAAAAAACTGATTCCCTAAAGGATTTTTACTTAAATGAAAGTAATAAATATTAAGAATAAATTATAATTTTTTCATATTTTATGATCTTTAACAATGCAGTAATGAAGTAAAGTTTCAAATACTAATAAACTCAAATACTAATACTTTTCACTTATAAAAAATCTGCTAATTTTCTTCAAATTGAAATTTTACATAGCTGTAGGCCTAGAGAGCAAAGGTCAGAG